GGGCATAGAAGGAGGTGGACTTGTGACCTGGCAGAGACAATCTGTAACAAATGGTCTGGTGGGAGGGAAAGAAAACATTTTAGTTTTAATAACCTCTATTGAAATAGAGTTTTTCTCCTTAAAATTACCCCTCTGTCTATTAAAATACCAATTTGTTTACTGTATTCAATTTGGCCTGATTGTTTGCATAAACACAACAAGAATGGTAACCGACTACTTTTGCTGGAATTTTATGATTGAATCTTAATGTGCCCCAGAGGGCCAGGAAGCCAAGCCATCTAGCCGCCATCAGGCCTACAGTATCTGCTGCCCATTGTCCTTGCTTTAAAGCCCATCTTAGTAGCCCTCCTGCTCGTCGCAGCCCAGAGTGCATGGGGATTCCGTCTCCCCTTCTACTCTGACAAACTGCCAGTGATAGTAGGGCATGGGCCTGACGCTCCAGCGCCAGCCATCTTCGGGGCTCCCAAGCAGGATAGCAGGCTTTTCTTATGGCACTCTTATTGGCTTCAAGTCTTCAGAGTCCAGACAGGTCTCTTTAAAACATGATACTCCAGTCAAAGTTTTTGGTCAATAAAACCACGATTGGAAACTGGTCTTATTGAATTTATGCAAAGAAATGTATTGCCATGATTTGTTTAACATTGCCAAATTTCGGAGGAATTACACAAGGAGAAAAGCCACTGACCTGCCTTAAGATCTTCTGATTTTCCTTGTCAGTCCTTTTTATGGACTCTCTAGAGTTATAACAAAACAGTAACTGTTAGATTTCTTTTATTATTCCCCCCTCTAAGTCCTTTGGTGTAACTATTTACTTTCTCTGGCTTACTGGCCTGTACTATTTGATTAATTTCCTTTCAACATTTCTCTTCTCCTTCTTATCACATACACAACCCTTCTAAATTTTATACTTTTAAATTAGCCTTTAAACCTTCTATGTCCTTTAAAAATGTATAACCATGCCTTAGACCTTCTACTCAGTAATTCCTTATTCCTAGAAACCTCAATCCTTTACAGCCAGTATTTCTTAGATTACTAAGAGCAGGTGCTTCCTTCCCTATGCAATTTTAAGTATACTGTATCAGTCTAATTTAGTCTTGGATGGGTTAAAGAGAACAAAACAGGGCAGAGAACATCTTACTGTGCTTCCAGCATAGTTCAGATAAGTAAAAATCAACATAACTTCTGGTCTGCTTTCCCTGCTGACTGCACCCCTCTTTTCTGCATTAACCATTTACTCTGTCCTTAGTTGTTCTCTCCCTCCTATATTTTTCCTTCTTTAACCCCAGAGACTCAAATCCTTCTCCTCCTTTAATATTTTTGACCTCTCTGACTATCCCCCTGTCCCTGAGCCTAGGGCTCCTCTGTCTCAGCAGTCTGAGAGTCTACTACCCTATCTAGTGAATCCTACCACTACTACCCCATCTCACACCCACTCCGGAGCAGTTTTCAGCTCTCTTCCTCCCGGCCATGAGAAAATGTACTCATCTTAACCTAATAAGCCTTTGTTTAAACTTCTTTGGGTTGCAACCTTATACCTTTAAATTAACCCTAGACTTCTAAAATTTTAACCTAACATAGCAAAATTATACATCAGAGCAAAGCAATTAAAAGTTCTCTACTGTCTTCCCCCTAAAGCAGGGTTTGCCCTACCTTTAAACTAACAACAGAGATAACAAATACACTTATGTGTATAGCCAGACAGCACAAAGTAGCTTTCGCTTCACATAGACTCTCACATTTACATTTATACACCAGACAGTCCAAGTTTTTGACTTCTACCAAATGTTTACTCAGAGTTTAAGCAATCTAACCAATTCCTGACTAATTGCCTAAGGGAGCTCTATGGCTTCCCGGGAGGTGATCAAGCTCCCCTTCCACTCACTTGGAGTGGTCCTGATTGATAGGGGGTCGACGAAGACGACTGACCCTGATCCATTTTGACAATGACAAAGACAACAAAGAACAAAGACCACAAACACCAGACAGACAAACTCGGTGCAGCCTAAAGCCGCACAAACCAGGCACCCTGGCCACCGTCGTGGCTGCGGGTCAGGACCAGGAGTACCACTGCGTCCAGCCCTCTGCATAGGTCCTTCCATGGGATGTCCCAATTCCAGATTAACGACCGGTCTTCCTTACCTCTCTCGAGAGTCCAGGTGGCTCAGTTTCCGATTTGAAAGTTTTGGGTGGAGTCTCTTCCACCTCCCTGGAACCTGGGACGGAGACTAGAGTCCTCCTTGGTAGTTGTTCCCACAGGGATGTGGGATATCTTGCTGTGTGCTCAGCAATAAATGGGGGAGAGCCTCCTGCCCTAAATAAGGGGTCCCTCTCACCCCTGCTGGGGATCTCGCTGGGGCCTCCAAATATTATGGGTTCACTCAGCAAGATAGACCACCAACTCAGAATTTAAATTTAAGAGCCTTTATTAAGCTGGCCAGCTGACTACCGTTACAGCCCCCGGCCAAAGAAGAGGCTGAACTGCAGCGCTGACTGCAAGAGTTACATTTTATTATTAAATTTTGTGGAGGCCCAGAGAAAAATGTGTCTTTCAAATTCTGGACCCCCAGTATGGAGGAAACTCTCTTTATTTATACTTTTTCCAGTCTTTTGTCTCCCAGATTTGGAATGAGACTTCCAGGCCTTCTGAAAAAGAAGGCCTGCATGCTGGGAAGGGGCCATGAGACCATATCTCAAGGCCTGGCCTGATGTCAGTACCTTCCTATCTATGTGTTTTAGGAACAGACAGCACAGCATGACCCGTCTGGCCAAAGTGCCAGATATGCAGCCCAGCACAGTTGGATCTCAGTCACATGATTCTACCAAACTGCTGTGAGCATTGAAAATGTGGTCTAGCCATGTGCCCACAAGGAAGAGAAAGGATATAGGTAAATGCTAACAGTCTCTGAAGGCTGATATAAGTAATCCAGTGCACTTTACTTGTAAAAAAATAAAAAAGAAAGAAAGTAGAAAGCAAAGCATTAAATAGAAAGCTAGCGCCTCCTCTGAACAACTGACTGCTGTGAGTTTGGTATGTAAGCACACAAAAATATACTATAGTTTTATGTTCCTGTTTGGACCAGTAGCTTATATTCTACAAAGTAGTCTTTACTGACTAATAAGCACTGTTTCTAATTCTTTATTTGAATATTCTCGTCGGTTCATTTCATCAAGCTGTCATCCCCACTTACCCACTGATGATGCACTTGTGAGGGTGACCAGTGATGTCCTCATTACTAAATTAGACGTTTATATTTGTGATAATTCTTCATTTCTCACCAGCATTAACTAACTTGGATCTTTTCCTTTTTCTTTTTAAGAAAATTAAGCCAATTGGGGTGACATTGGTCAATAACATTATATAGGCTTCAGTTGTATGATTCTATAATACATCATCTTTCTATCACAGAGTGTGTTCACCGGCTAAAGTCAAGTCACTTTTTATCACCATAGATCCCCCTTTCCCTCTTCTGCCTCACCCACCTCCTCCCCCTCCTGAAATCACCATGCTGTATCTTTGTAAGTTTTGTTGTTGTTTAATCCCTTCACCTTTTTCACCCAGCACTACCCCCCCTCCCTTTCATAAGGTTTTGATTTACATTTTCCTAATAGCTAATGAATTTGAGCATTTTTTTATATATATCTGTTAGCCATTTTTATGTCTTCTTGGGCGAAGACATAAAAATGAGCAGGTCCCCTGCTCATTTTCTAAAATTTAACTTTATTGTTGAAAGTATTTTTAGTTAGATTTGTTGGTTCTTGAGTTGTATAATGTCTCTATATAGTTTAGATATAAGCCCCTTATCAGAGGTATTGTTGGAAAATATCTTCTCCCACTAGGCTGCTTGCCTTTTTGTTTTGTTGATGGTTTCTTTCACTGCAGATGCCTTTGAGGGAACGTACTGCTCTCTTCTGATTTGGTCCAGGTACCACCTTCCTCCCTCTTCTGTCAAGCGGAAGATGCACGGCATCTGAGGCTGATCCTTCCCAGAAATTAACTCCAGAGGCTGCCTCATCTGGTAAGAGCTTCCATACCCAGCATCAACTATGTACTTCCTGCCACCCAGGGTCACCATCAGCAGGGGGTGCATGATAGCTCTGGTGTATTTTTCAGTTGTAACATTGCAAACATAGCTTCCCAGCATCGTGGTCTCAAAACCGATTGTGGTCAGAGCCCAGTACAGAAGTTGATTGACCTGGCCACACCACCCACCCCGGTTCTTCCTCACAAGTTGATCAAAAACAGCCTCCAAGCCCAACTCCATGGGTTCCCCACAGTGGATGTTAAGGTTCTCAAAGGGAATGGCCTGGATCTGGTGCTGAAGAATGTCAGTTAATGTTTCCAGGTCCAATTTGTTCCTAGAGTTCTTATAACCAATTCTTTCAAAATATGCTTCGATGTCCATGATCCCCTGTGGCAAGGAAAAGAAAACAAAAACACATACTGTTACATTTGCAGTTGGATTTCCTTAAGTAGGTTAATTATAGTAATGTATTTTAAGTATATACAGACAAATACTAATTTTAAAGAGGTTATAAACATCTGTAATTATAATTCTTTTAAAGATTTTTAAAATTTATTTTTAAATAAGAAATGTTTTCATTATTGTGTTATTTTTGACTTTTAACATATGTAAGTTTAAGGTGTATAATATGATGATTAGATACATTGATATAGCAAAGTGATTACCACAATGAGATTAGCTAACACCATTTTGTAACCTTTTTTCTTTGCTGTTGGTGATTACATTTAAGATTTACTCTCTTACCAACTTTCTTTTCATTTCTTTTTGTATGCAATATAGTATTGTTAATTATAGTTAAGATGCTGTTTATTAGATTCTCTAGACCTTATTTATCTTCTAGCTTGCAGTTTGCACCCTTGACAAACATCACCCCACATTTCCTAACCCCCGCCCCTGTAGTTCATGGCAACCACCATTCTACTCTCTATTCCATGAGGTTGGCTTTTTTTAGATTCCACATATAAATGAAAACATAAAGTATTTGACGTTATTTGTCTAAATTATTTCCCTTAGCATCATAATGCCCTTAAAACCCATCCATGTTGTGGCAAAAGCTATGGTTTTCTTCTTTCATATGGCTGGATGGACACTTAGGATGTTTTCATTTCTTGACTATCCTATCTAATAATATACAAAGATGCAAATTGACCATGCCTTTGCTATGCCCACCATTGGCTAATCAGAGCAATATGCAAATTAATCACCAACAAAGATGGCGGCTAATTTGCATACACTGGTAGAGAGCAAAGACTGAAGACACTGTAGAAGGAAGCCAAGCAATGGAGCTGAGGTAGCGGAGACGGGCAGGAGAAAAGCAGCAGAGAACTAGTAGGTACTGGTGTGGATCAGGGAGCCATCTAGGATCCTGGAGCTGAGGAGTCTGACTGGAACCAATAGGCTGTCTGTGGCCTCTAAGCCGCATATGGCAGCCTGAGCTTGCTAGAACTCAGGTGGGCCAAGAACCTCATTCACAGTAGTTCTCTGAGAGCCTGTAGCCAATGAGGACGATTTGAGCAATACAGCTGTCTAGAGCTATTGGAGTTGGCAGGAACTACAGTGAAACTTGGGCCTCGATTTGTGAGAGACTAATGGGAGGCTGATGCCTTTGGAACTGCCTTGGGGCCACAAGAAACACCTAGGGCTGCTCTAGCTAGTTGGCACCAAAGTGCGATAGGGACTTGAGTTTGCAGGAACCTGCTGAAAGCGTGATGCTGTGGGAGCCAATTGGGCCCATAGGTGCTGTCTACAGCTGTTGTAGCTAGGAGGTACCACGGTTACTGAGGAACTTGGATTAATAGGGACTCAATGGGTACCTGGTACCAAGAAAGTTTCTGTGGACCATGGGAGCTACCTGAGCTCCTACAGCTGGCTGCCACTAAGATGAGCCTGGAGCCTTGGTTCATGGGATCCTATTGGGATCTTGTATCATAAGGTTACTGTTGCTGTCAGGTGCTGGGTTGAGGCAAGGTCCTGGGTTCATGGGAGCCTGCTGGGGGCCTGTGTTGTAGAAGTTGCTGAGTTTTTCTGTTGCCCCTCCTAATGTCATTACTTTTGGATTCTCCTATTTGTTTTTTTTGATCTGCTATTCTTCCCATTCTGCTAGTGTTTCGGCTTTCTCTATTGTTCATGACTAATGTTTTTCTCCAAAAATCTAAGTAGTTCATTTCATTTCTTCTCATCCTAACTTGCATCTGTATTCTTCATCAACATCTACACAAGCTCTAAAACTCTACATTCAGACACAGAGAGAACTACTATAATTTAACGAGCCCATCCCAAACCCTCTCTGCCTCTACCTGCAGAAGCAGTGCTGAGGTACTACAATGTTATGATATATGGTAAATATGGAAGCATTTAGAAAATAGTTGCTAGGATATAACTGACTGAAAACATTATAAAATTTACATATTGACTTATTGCTTAGCTATGTAGTGATACACCCCTTCATTTTTGACTTGCTCTTAAGTTTACGAGAAGACTAAAAGGCACAGAGTAAACACACTTAGGGAGCCCACTGAGATGTCGCAGAAAATCACTTAATATCTTTCCAAGGAAGTTAGATGTAGAATAATTTTTCATTTTAATTCGGAACACTTAGAAAGTTTCTTCTTCCTGCTCCAAACTCTAGAATTAACAGAAAAAAATGAAGAAAGCTACTTGGGTATTGGCAGGAAAGCGAACTCTTTACGAGGGAGAAACCATCAGGCTGGCACCAGAACACTCCACAGGAATATGTTACCAAGGTAAGAGAAAAGTCTGATCCCCAAATACTGTTCTCAGCTAGTATTTCATTTAATCACAAAGGTATCATGAATATGAACATAATCTCAAAAAATGAAAGAACCTGAGGAATGAATGAATGATGAGCTAACTACCCCAATAAATTGTTACCTCCTAAATGGCCAATGAAGTAGAGATCAAAATGAAAAAAGAAAGGAGAGGCCACAGCAAAGGACTGATGGACAACATTGGCTTCTTTTATTACAAAACTAAGAGTAGAAAAAGTTATGAGAATTGTGGGTATTGAATGAACCAGTTTTATGGAAATAAAAATGTTAAATTAACATGTTTACTTGAACAAAAATATGTAGTGAAAGTTGACTCTTTTTTACTAATGTTGATTTCTAATGTGTTTTCTGCACTTTAGTGGAATGTTTTAGAAAGTATGTTCTATCCTACAGAAACATTTTTAAGTCCTTATGATACACTAAAAAAATTCCAAATTCTTTGAAGAGAAAAAATTTTCCTAATTTCAACACTCAGAAAGAATTATAATCAATAATTTGGGGTATTTATTTCTAGTCTTTATCTATGCAATTTAAGAGAGTATGGAAAATGTTTATAATGTTTTATTCTTTATTTTTTCTCAATGCTAGAAAATATGTTTTTTCTAACATGTAATTACAATTATTTGTGCTGATTAGCTTTCCCCTAAAGATGTTACAAAACTTTTAGAAATAAAAATACAAGTGTAAACAAATAATCAATTAATAGTAATTGCTATTTTTTAAATACTATTTTCTAGGGTCAAATTTCTGAATTTGATACCTATACTTATATTTAATTCTAAGAAGAGGAAGTTATAAGTTCATGGATTTAAATTATTTCCCCAAGATTACTCATTTTTCTAGTATTTAAACTCAGATCTTCAGAGTTGCCATGCCAGAAATGATGTTGTATATTAATCTTAGTTAAAGGTGATGATTAAATTCATGGAAATTTGCTTTTCTGAGTGACATGATTAAAGTAGAAAGAGACTAAGCAGGTGACCTGCATCAATAAGACAGATGTTCTAGTGAACCAATATCTGAGCTCAGAACAGAGCATGCTCAGTGTACCTAGAGGGGCACATGGGATTGACGAGGCTTCCGGACTGAGGTTACTATGAGGAGAATTCTGTTTGTACCGCCCAGGTCCCTTCAGATGTCTTACCATGTCACTGTGCCTCCGGACTGGCTTCTGTGTCCTCATGCTTAAGGACCTGCGCCCTAGCCTCTCTCTGGGGGACCTCTTAAGAACTCCTGGAGCTCCTTTTCCTTCCGCTGCAGACAGCTGGCAGGCCAGGGAATGCCTATCCTGCCAGGGCAGCTCCGCGTGAATGAGTTTCTGGCTCAAGGTATTATAACCTTACATTGTGTCTGGCAAAGTCTAAGACATAATTCATAGCCACACTGAAACTCAAGCTGAAGCCTGGGATTTTTCTGAATCTCATTCCCACTAGGATTCTTCCTCTATCCCAGTGGTTCTCAACCTTCTGGCCCTTTAAATACAGTTCCTCATGTTGTGACCCAACCATAAAATTATTTTCGTTGCTACTTCATAACTGTAATGTTGCTACTGTTATGAATCATAATGTAAATATCTGATATGCAGGATGGTTTTAGGCGACCCCTGTGAAAGGGTCGTTCGACTGCCAAAGGGGTCGCGACCCACAGGTTGAGAACCATTGCTCTATCCAGCCTTACTTTTCCAATACTTAATTGGACACTCCCAGGAGCACTTTCGTAGTGAATTACTTGGACATAAATCCTTGTCTGAGTGTCTGAATCTTGGTAACCTGACTTGAGACACATGAGTGGTGCAGTTTGGAAAGTGGTGTGGAAGACAGGTCAGATACACAGAATGAGGCCTTTCAGAGGGCCTCGCACGTCAGACAAAAGAGGGACCTGTTTCTGTGGATCACAGCAATGCCTGTTGTTTTGTTGAATGGTCAGTATTGAAGTTGGACCTACTGTTTGATTTATCCCTCTGCCATATGCTACTTCCTTTGCAAATCACCCTCTTGAGTATATCCCTGCAGAGCAGATTCATATGCAGAACGGACTTGCTCCCCATCTCTAGAATTCTTTCACATACAACAGCAATTTTCAACTTGGTTCAAGATCTTTCCTCTTCACCTTAAATGAAACTGTAACCAAGAGCCTAATATAGAAGAAAAA